TTAAATTTTAAGTTTTAAGTTAAGTAGGTAATAAATAATATAGTAGTAGTAAGGAAGGACGAAGTAAGTAATAGTAGGTACGGTCGTAGTATATATATATATATATATATATATATATATATATAGAAAAAGGATGAAGATTATGTGAGCCGACCGATTTAAGGAATAGAATAGGCCGGACGGCCTAGAGGCCCAGATTGAAGGATAGGAGGTGATCTAGACAGTCCAACATGTATCAAAAATGTCAATTAGTGTTAATCCATATTTTCTTAGCATATATATATAGGAAAATTGTGAAAAAATTGGTTTTATCGAGATTCTACAATTTGATGAAAATTTTTTTAATGCAGATAAAAGAAATGCCTCTACCCGTTTTTTTTAAACAGGCTAGGAGTTAGATTTTTTAAGGTGTTAATGGAGTGGTGTTATTGATAGGAATGGAAAGTAACTAGGTGTGGGGATGCGCCCATTATGACCCTAACCCTTTTCTTGAAATAGTGGCATGTCAATGGGGATTTGAGCCCTTACTTTTTGGTGAGAATGAAGTTATTGAGAGGTAAGTCATTCGGGATTTGGGCTCTTATCCTTTGGTGATAATGGAGTTAGAGATGTAAGTCAGTGGGGATTTGGGCTCCTACCTTTTGGTGAGAATGAAGTTAGAGAGGTAGGTTAATAGAGATTTGGGTTCATATCTTTTTGGTGAGAATGGAATTAGAGACCTCATAATGAGGCTTAACAATACTACCGCCAAAGCCCAAGGCCATTCTAAATTTAGTTTCAATCTTGACCACTGAGGATACACTATTTCATAAACCTATGCGCTTTTAAAGCTTTCCATACATAAGAAGGTGTGGTTTATACAAGATGTAATCTTAAACAACCAACAAAACATACACCTCAAAACTCTATTGGAAGGTTTATGGTCCTAGAAACCCCTAAGATAGCCTGCCTAAAAATCTATTTCTACAATTAATTATGAAATTTAAAATGAATAAATGGTGTAGATTTGATATATCTAGTGAACATTTGTATATAGACAACACAGATAATATATTGTAAAATGCACCATTTTTAGAGCCGACCCCAAATAGTTTAGGTAAAGCTCAAGTGATGATGATACTACTGCACTGTTTTTAATATTTGAAAGTTTTTCTTTCATATCCATACACTTTGAAGTCATAATGATCAACTTGAGGATTTTTCAATGTTCAAACAACCCTTTTTTTATGAAGTTTTGTGTATGCCTTACTTTTGTTGTATAAAATAGCCGTTTTTTTTTGTGCGGTTTGTATAGAGCCGATGAACTAAACGATCAAAGTAAAGCCCACCTTCAAATAGTATCGACAAGCATGGTTTCAACACTGAAAATCTTTTGATAGCTTTAAAATATATTTTCATATTTAATTATAAAATTTAACACTTAAAAAATAATGTAGATCGAACAGATCTACGCAACTTAAAAATCTTGAGACGGTCAAAAAATGCATTACAGGATGCACTATTTCAAAAACTTGAAATCCATTTTTTTCTCATGTCCATGAATCTTGATGTCGAGGTGATAAATTTGAGGATATTTGGGCATCAAAACAACCTCTTTTAGTGAAATTTTGAGGTGGGCACTAATTTGATTTTGGAATGATAAAATAGACGATTATTTAACATTTTCATAATTGTGGTTTGTATGAGGCTGAGGCCCTAAACAATCAAACTATGGCACACCTTCAAATAGTATCGAAATATATTGTTTTAATACCAAAATCTTTGTGATGGCTTGAAAATTTTTCATCTCGAATTATAAAATCTAAAACTTAAAAAATAGTGTTGTTCGAGCATATAAATAAACACTTAAAAACCAACTGTATAGAAAATGCATTACAAGATGTAATATTTTTAAGATTTGAAATCAATTTTTTCTTATATCCATCCATCTTGATGTAAAGATGATAGATTTGAGGATTTTTGGGCACCGGATCAACCTCTTGATGAATTTTTGAGGATTGTTGGGAGGCCTCGCCCTCGTATAAACTTTTTCCGCTGTTAAAACCTTGTTTGGATGCAAGGTATTATGAAAATAGAAGGAGAGCTCCTTTTTTCAAGCAAGATTGCTTTTACCTTTGTAGTTTTAATCAGAATTAGGACAGGGGCATTTTCGTAAGTTCAAAAGATGGAGACTCTTTTTCCGTCCCTGCCCACGTTGCGAGTGCTCTTCTTGGGTTAAAGACGGGGCTATTTTGGTAAATATCTCTCACCGCTCATTATCTCGAAAGTAAAGTTCGACTGGTGCTACTTACTTGTGGGACTCTATTGCAGACCAACTATAATAATTACTCTCTCTCCTCTCTCTCTCTCTCTCTCTCTCTCTCTCTCTCTCTCTCTCTCTCTCTCTACTCTACTCTACTCTACTCTACTACTACTACTACTACTACTTACTACTACGTTACTACTACTACTAC